AGGAAATCCCTGCGCTGAAAGGGTATCGAGTAAAGTGACGCATGGACAAGGCGATGGAAGAATAAAGAATTTTAGTTTAAGAGGAAGGTAGGTAGGGAGAGAGAGAGAGAGAGAGAGAGAGAGAGAGAGAGAGAGAGAGAGAGAGAGAGAGAGAGAGAGAGAGAGAGAGAGAAAGAGAGAGGGAGAGAGGGAGAGAGGGAGAGAGGGAGAGAAAGAGGGGGAGAGGGAGATAGGGAGAGAGAGAGGGAGATAGGGAGGGAGAGAGAGAGGGAGATAGGGAGGGAGAGAGAGGGGGAGAGAGGGAGGGAGAGAGGGAGGGAGAGAGGGAGGGAGGGAGAGAGAGAGTGAGTGAGAGAGAGAGGGAGTGAGAGAGAGAGGGAGAGAGAGAGAGAGAGAGAGGGAGAGAGGGAGAGGGAGAGGGAGAGGGAGAGAGAGAATATAAAACAGGATAAACCACAAAACAGACCAATAAAAAAGTAGAGAACTAATCAATCAATCCAACGAGTCAGTTAACCAGCCTACCAAGCAATCAACAAAGCCGCAAGTAACCAGACAAACAATATCAAACAAACGAGAACAACCAACAACCCGAACACGCAAACCAACCAACTAAACACATAAAACTAAAACGCAAACTAACCATAGCCATAATTAAACCTAACAAGAACCACAACCAACCACACAAACAGGCCTAACAAACAAACGACTACGCCAACAAACAACATAACAAACCATTCAAACAGAACTAACAAACAAACGACCACGTCAACAAACAACAAAACAAACCATTCAAACAGATCTAACAAACGACTACGCCAACAAACAACATAACAAACCATTCAACCAGTACTAACAAACAAACGACTACGCCAACAAACAACATAACAAACCATTCAACCAGTACTAACAAACAAACGACTACGCCAACAAACAACATAACAAACCATTCAAACAAAACTAACAAACAAACGACTACGCCCACAAACAACAAAACAAACCATTCAACCAGTACAAACAAACAAACGACCGCGTCAACAAACAACCTGACAAGCAGACAGACCGATTTCGGCTTCGAAGGTCGGTCACAGCGCACCAACAAGAAGTAAAAGGACACTTCCGGCGACAGGTGGGGGGAGGGAGGGGGGAGGGGGGAGGGAGAGAGGGAGGGGGGAGGGGGAGGGAGAAACAGGGAGAGGGTCAGGGAGAGGGTCAGGAAGAGGGGGGAAAGGAGATGGAGGAAAGGAGGATGAGAGAGGGTAAGAGGGGGGGGGGGGAAGAGAAGTGGGACAAAGCAAGGGATGAGAAAAGGAAGAGGGAGCGAGGGATGAGGAAGGAGAGAGGGATGACAGAGGACAGGGGAGAAGGAGGCGATAAAGGAGAGAAGGAGAGGAAGCGAAAAGGGGTCGTCCTTGTTAGCAGGGCAAACACAGCCGTCGCTTCCCATCGATTACCGGGAGCGATGGGCCGTTCGAGGGCGTCGAGGGGGACTTGTGAACACTTGATAAAAAAAAAAAAAAAAATCCTTCGCCGTGACCTCGAAGCTCGCCGCCCTTCTCCCCGAGACCCAGGACAGAATGAGGGAAATGAGAATATAAATAAATAAATATAGACTGCCATTCGTAGTTGTGGTCCCCCATCTACCCCTCTCCCTCTCCCCTTTATGAAAAAAAAAATCCGATAAGATACGGATAAGAATGAATCATTTCGCGATGGTGTGCGATGACGTCATGAAATCAAAACTTATTTTGGGATTACGTGATGCCATAGAAAGTGTGATGTAGAACGTCGTTTGCATGTTTTCCATTGAAGAATTAATAACTCACTCACAACTTTATTAAAAATTTATTACGATGCAGATGAGGCTATATAGTCATGATGAGAATAATGAAGATAATAGTTATTAATGACAATGATAATGAACATAATCATAAAATCAAAGTAAAACAAGCGACAGCATTGATACGAAGACAGAGAAAGACAAAAAAGAGAACCAGTAAACAGGGAAAAAGGAGAAGGAACGAAAACGAGCAACGGAATGGTTGAGAGGAGAAGGGAAAGGGGGAAGAGAGGGGGAGGCAGGAGATGAGAGTCGGGGGGAGGGGGGGGGGGAGTAGAACGCCAAACATGAATGGAAAATGAACGTCCTCTATGTAAAGGAAAGAGGGGAAAATACACAAAACGTAACATACAGGACAATATAAGGGAGGGGACCCGGAGGCAGAAAGGAAGCGAGGGGGGAGGGGCGAGGGGGAGGGGGAGGGGGAGGGGGATGGGTGAGGGGGAGGGAGAGGGAGGGGGATGGGTGAGGGGGAGGGAGGGAGGGAGGGAGGGAGGGAGGGAGGGAGGGAGGGAGAGAGAGGGGAGGGGAGGGGAGGGGAGGGAGGGGGAGTAGGAGAGAGGGAGATGGAGAGGGAGAGAGAGAGTGAGATAAGATAAGAGAAGAGAAGAGAGAGAAGAGAAAGACATGGTGGGAGAAGGAGGGGGAGGAAAATGGAGAGGA